AAATCGATCACATTTCTTGAATGTACGGTGTGCGTATGTCTACTTATCTCATTCTGTTTTATGGAACTCGTAGGTGTAGGTATACATTATTCGAAGTGGTTTATTTAAAACAGAATAATCATAACCATAATCAAGGTGTTATTATAAACCGAGTTAGTAACTATTTATGTGCTGTGGTATAATACGAGATATCGAGTCTTAATTTTTTTTTTACATTTTCATGAAGTTCCTTTTTTTTTATTAGGCCAGTTATTGAAGTCTACTCGATCAACATTTTACTGCAAACAATCGAAAAAAAAATTTTTTTAAAAGATTTTAAATTCAATTGCTCAATTATTCAACTTACATTTTTTGTTTGTACCTACGTGGTAGACATAAATTTTAAATGTGATCAAAGTAGTTGGTGAATTATTACTTTTGCGGTACATCGTAATGACTTTAAATCAATCTTATTTTTTGAATATACGGTGTGCATATGTCCAGTGGAACTTATTCTATTTTATGGAACTCGTAAGAATCCAAAGTTTAAAGAGTGCTAAGTCTTCATGTCGTTCTTCGTTATTTTCAATCATTTATGTTTATCCTGTTCAGGTTTTTGTCTTGTGATCTTCAAATATCTTGTAAATAAGTTGTAAAGATCTTCTGAAATCACCTATGACTGCGAAATTTCAAAATTAAATTATCAAAAAAACAATTCTTTAAAAACATGGTTTTTGACAACACTATTGCCTCTTTGTTTCCCTGAATAAAGTTTGAATGAGTCCCACGAACGAACTCTGAAAAGCGCCACATAAAGTTGTCCGTGACTAATACATCCTTTCTGGAGATCAATTACTATCCTATCAAATGTTTGTCCTTGAGATTTGTTAATCGTAACTCATTGCAAAGGCTAATTTTATTTTAAAATTGTCTTTGTTTGAACGTAAAGGGGTAGACGTTTTCGCAGTAGAGTGTTATTCGATTTATGAACACTATTTCTCCCTGTTTATCTACAGTCAATATCTCACAGCGTAACAGATTATCCCCAAGTTCCAGAACTAAAGGCCTTGTGCCATTGCAAAGGCCTGCACTGATGCTTAGATTTCTAATAAGCATACAATAGAATTCGTTTTCAATCGTAAATCATGGAGCGGGAATTCGGCGGATTAAGCGAATTTAAATATTTTGGAAGAATAGCATCATTTAGATCACTATTATCACAGTTCTTGACACTATCTATACTGGTGTAGAGTTTTTCGGTCTTGACGTCCAACAGTTCGACAACTTATTCGTTTATTTCTTCGACATCAACATTTCTTGCAGAAAGTATTGCAGATTTGGTCAAGTCCCTGAATCTTCCTTCTTTTAGTATTGTTCGTCGACTTTTCGTATGAGGAGCGAGGGGGTGAAGCGAAAACCAGGGGTGACCTTAGGTGACCATTGGCGTTCAAATGTAGGGTGCCACCAGCTCACATTCCTTTCGAGTATTAGATTAAAATCGACGGACTTTACTTCTCATAGATGTTTTCAACAATATCCGAATTATCAATACATTTCTCCGACAATTTTAGATTGTCGTTAGAATCATTTAGTGTTCGTTATCGCATAAAAATGGCTCAATTTCAGCAATAAGTGCTTATTATTGGCCTTTAAGGCGGCAACCGTTCGAGATTTGTCAACATAGACTTTGGATTTTAGAATGCCCAGAGAAAAAAATCCAGTGACGTTAGGTCGGCCAATTGTGGATTCTGAAGGACGATCGTTGACATCATAAATTGCACGGAGTGCACGAAACGTTTTCCGAATAGAACATTGGTTTTGATAATGATAATAATTTTTAACAATTCCGACGCGTTGCTCAATCGTGTAGCGCTCCATAATAAAATGCAGAGACTAATTGAATACGGCTGCCAAAGATAGCACCTGTGTGACTATCGAGTTTTTCATGGGCTATTGTCAAACATCGAGCGTTACTATTGGAAAACCCTATACATACCTAGATTCTTCTATTGGACCTAGAAAAAATATTAAACCACTTCCTTGCTTTGAAAAACAACCATCTACAGAGCAATATCTAATAGCACAGCTAATAGGCATATTGTCAGAGAATTGTCACATAAGTAACAAATTCACAGTCCTTCACAAAGATGCAACCGAGGAGAACATTGAAAATGCCGAAGCAAACTTCAACGCTAATGCTTGTGATTATTGTGAGCTTTGAGATCCGCTAAAATTCAACCCTTTCCAGATTTTCCAGAATTTTTCCGACCCAATCCAGAAATTTCCATGCGTTTTCCAGACGTTTCCAGAAATTTCCAGACTTTATCCAGATTTTTCCAGACTTAGCTAGACTTTATGCAGACTTGTCAAAATTTCTCCAGACCTTATCAAGCCTTTTCCAGAGGTTTCCAGACATTTCCAGACTTTCCCAGACTTTATCCAGACTTTTCTAGACTTGGCTGGATTTTTCCAGACTTTATCCAGACTTGTCTAGATTTCTCCAGACCTAATAGAGCCTTTTCCAGACGTTTCCAGAAATTTTCTGGCTTTTCCAGACTGTATCCAAACTTATCCAGACTTTTCCAGATTTAGCTAGACTTTATCCAGACTTGTCTAGATTTCTCCAGACCTTATCCAGCCCTTTTCTGACCTCTCCGGACTTCTCCCAAACACTTTCCCGACTTCAAATACACTTTTCCAGACTTTATCCAGACTTGTCTGAATTTCTCCAGACCTTATCAAGCCTTTTCCAGACGATACCAGAAATTTCCAGGCTTTTCCAGACTTTATCCAGACTTTTCTAGACTTGGCTAGATTTTTCCAGACTTTATCCAGACTTGTCTAGATTTCTCCAGACCTAATAGAGCCTTTTCCAGACGTTTCCAGAAATTTTCTGGCTCTTTTCCAGACTTTATCCAAACTTGTCTGAATGTCTCTAGACCTTATTAAGCCTTTTCCAGACGTTTCCAGAAATTTCCAGGCTTTTCCAGACTGTATCCAGATTTTTCTAGGCTTAGCTAGATTTTTCCAGACTTTATCCAGACTTGTCTAGATTTCTTCAGACCTAATAGAGCCTTTTCCAGACGTTTCTAGAAATTTTCTGGCTCTTTCCCAGACTTTATCCAAACTTATCCAGACTTTTCCAGACTTAGCAAGACTTTATCCAGACTTTATCCAGACTTATCTAGATTTCTCCAGACCTTATCCAGCCCTTTGACCTCTCCGGACTTCTCCCAAACACTTTCCCGACTTCAAATACACTTTTCCAGAACTTATCCAGACTTGTCTGAATTTCTCCAGACCTTATCCAGCCTTTTTCCGACGTTTCCAGAAATTTCCAGGCTTTTCCAGACTTTATCCAGACTTGGGTAGATTTTTCCAGACTTTATCCAGACTTGTCTAGATTTCTCCAGACCTAATAGAGCCTTTTCCAGACGTTTCCAGAAATTTTCTGGCTTTTCCAGACTTTATCCAAACTTATCCAAACTTTTCCAGACTTAGCTAAACTTTTTCCAGCCTTATCCAGACTTTATCCAGACTTGTCTAGATTTCTCCCGACCTTATCCAGCCCTTTCCTGACCTCTCCGGACTTCTTCCAAACACTTACCCGACTTCTATTATGTATAAGTAATTGCCTATCTATGAGTCGGCACTCAATGTATGCAAAAGCGGTAACAACCTTGAACTAACATAAACATATCGATTTTATATTCCGATTGCCTTATTTGCATAATTAAAGCGGTGACAACCTTGAACTAACATCTCGATTTTATAGTCAGAAACTCTTATTCGCAACAGTAAATATATTTATTAATTCGACCGCTCTCTTGCTAAGCTAAATATCCACTAAATCTCAATCCCCTGTTCACATTTACATTCTTCACCCTGACAAATAATAACGCCACTTCTGACTCATATTATATAAGTACGTACTCTACAATCCCAAATGACCATTAGGACACAGAATCTCAACAAAAAAAAAATGAAATTTCATCGTTTCAGTAAGAAGGTATCTCATGATATAGATTTTGGAAAACTTTGAAAAGTCATAACTTTTTTCCTAAGATCGGTAGAGTTTCAGGGTAGTTATGGCCCTTATAAGTTGAAAATGTTATACTTAGAATTTGTTCCAAATTGAGTTTTTATTGTTTTTGTAATTGTTTGCGATCGACTACCATACATCCATCTCTGACAGGTGATTTGTACTTTATGTATTAACATTGTGTTTTTTTTTTTCAGGAAACCTATTTCTCCAGTGTGTCACCTGCCTAATGAGTCGGGCGGGACGGCCACAACTAGACCACAACCCAGGGGGACTTTGATTTTTATTTCTTATCACACAAATGAGTAGTTAAGAAATTTTGAGGATGTTATAAATCGTTTAGCATTATTAAGCAAATCTACGTCTTTGGTGCGGTATGGCAGCTACTTGGAACCATCGGAACGGTTTGGCACGGTGATATCCGTGAATGACTCCTCAAAGATGATCAGTCAAAAAAGAGAATGGCTTGTTACAAATATTCTACAAAAATAGGTACTTCAAACTAACACGCGCCGATTCGTATGGCAGGCAATAAGCCACACCGGATAAGTATGGCATTTCGCTTCCGACTAGTTCTTTTTTTGTAAACTATCGGAATATACAATACAATATAATACTGACAAGTTCGATTAATCGCCATGCGATTAGAGCCCAACGGCAAGAAAGTTATCATCGTTTTCCTTATTACGTAATTCGCCTAGGGGTCGCCATTACTTAACTGTTACAAATTACCAACTTTTTTGTGTTATGAGCTCCCAGTCTATATACCTTATACTGATTTCAAATATCTTTATTTATATAATCTTATTTTTTCAATTGAATAGACGGTTACTAAAAGGATCCAATTTGCCACTTGCTCCACCACTGCCCCAGAAAACGTCCAAGTTCACTCCATTTCGCGAAACAACCCTTCTTTCGCATGCGTCAAGTTTCCCGAGCCAGCCAAAGGCCTTTCCTACGCGTTTTCAGTTTTCCCAGTCGGCGTACAGTCGAGCGGAAAACCCAATATCAGTTTTCCTTTTCTCTATTCGTATTCGGTTCGATATTATATCGGTTTTTATGTAAGTTATTACTATTCGTATCTGCGGACAACATTTATTATTGTCGGTTTATAGGGATTAACTGTACTTATTTATAAAGGTTTGTGTGCTTTTCAATTTATCTCGATTTTATGTTAATTTTCTTTAGAAGGGTAAGTCGATGTCCTATATTATTATTGACGGAGGAGCTACATTAAACTGTAGGTGATAAGAGATTTGGTGATAGTTACTCTGAGGCGGTAATGTATATTGGAAAATTGTCAAATATTGGCAACAAAATAATATAATATGGAATGGAAATGAATTGAGATTAGTTTTTCCAAAACCAAACTGCTGGTTTTATTCTAAGAATTTTCCAAAAATTAGATATGAACTTATAATATACGATAACCATAAAATTCACTCTGGGTTTTTGGTTTTAAAATCTATTTTCACGCTTACAAAATATTTTCGATTATCATTTTGATATTTGTGTTAATTATTTTGTTTTTATTTCTTTATTTTAACTGCTGGTTTGGCTGTGTGCACGTTTAAAAGGCTATTAAAAAAAAATGTATTTGGCCCAAAACTCAATAAGCTTATTAGTGCAAAGGCTTATAGGCCCTAGGCCATCGCCAGTGTAACTTATTTCATCAGGTCAAAAATTTGTAAAAAGCCAAGTAAAGAATTTCCAAAAAATGTTGTGCCCCTGTATTATACCCCAAAAATTCCATTTTCTATGCCTTTGTAAAAAGTATTTTATTCAATTGTCACTATAGTTTTGAAATCCAGATGAAAAATTACTCGGAATCCATCTAATAGGTACTGAAATAAAAGTAGGTGGGCGCTTTTATATAGGTCCATAATGGGTGTCAGTCACTTTGCATCCCACGTGTTTTAATCAAACGGGCTCTAATTTACAAAATGCCATGTTTCATTTGGCTTCAACATTCGTCCCTTTCATCAAAGCGTATGGAAATTGAGCTGCAATTGAGGAATATTTACGGCCCAACCAGAAACTTTTAATTACTAAATGGAATTTTTTTTATGTAACTTTATAATGAAAACCCACATTTAAAATAATTGAATACCTAAACATATTACAGAAAGCATATTTTATAATATATCTGCAGTAATATAAGTTATATCATAAGGCCACAAAACAGTTAGGTAGGTAGCTACCTGCTTAAAAACAAAATTCTTTCAAAGTTGCTAAAAAAGTTTAAAGCTAAAATAAATCTTTCTTTAAAAAAAATTAATCAATCTTAAAGTTCAATTAATTTTTTTTTATGATCGGCAAAAGCTTTTCCTTAATAATTTCGGTGTGGCCCAATTTTGAAGCCAACTTTTAGGAAGGATTAAAATCTCGAGACGAGCTCCCTTTCAAGATATTTGCCTTTCTATGACAATAGGGCTTTTATTGAATTTGCATGCTAAAGCGTCAGGATATAGTTTGATTTTTATAAGACACTCTGAACATTTTTAGCTCGGAAAATAACGATTTTAAACCTTCCTAAATGCCTCAATTTCATTATTTCTATCGATTATAGTCCCTTCTACCCGTTTTCAATTTCGTGTCATCAATCATTATCATTTTCTTCGGCCAAGTGACTCCATTATGACAGTGCACCATAATTGGATTGGATGGCCTCAGTCAATAAATATATTTTTTTTTTCATATTGGAACACAATAAACCGATATTCCATTTTAGGGTGACGCATATAGGTAATGTGATATTTTATGTAATAATTACAAGTTTAAAAAAAAACAACAGCGGCGTAGAAGTAATTAATATTTATATCCAAAATCGTATTGTTGGAATTTTTTTAAACTTAAAACTGTAAAATTAATTATTTTTTAATGGAAAACTTGTATACTGGAGCTTCAACTAGTTATACAGCTTTTCAACACAGGCATTGAAAATTTGTAATTCAATATAGTCAGGGTACCGTGCAGCAGCATTTTCAAGCTCAAATAAAAGTTGACGACCAATAATTGTTAGATTGAATTTTGTGAATTAAGTGAGTAATGTTGCTATTTTTATATCAGTGTTAATTGGTAAAGGGTAATTTTTCTATTTTACCAAGTGAACTAAATTATCGATTACCTACTTAAACAATCTTTGAATATTTTGTTCTGAGACTGGATAACTGTACAATTACGCAATACTTCATCGTTTGATAGCGGATTTAGTTGTCGATTGGCTACGAAAAACGTCAATAAACAGAGCTGGTCACCAAAGTTGCTTTTTTCGAGATAGATCCAGATCTGTACTTACACACTTTTCTAAAAACCTTTTTTTTTTAATTTATGCCATACACAGTGTAACGAACGAACGCCTATATTGATTTTCTATATTGAACTACAAACTCCGGTTTTTTTTTCGAATCAGTAGGTCGAAGTCATGTCTCAAGCAGCATCAAAGTAGTGAAAACCGCGAGATCGGAACTTCGAATAAATTGTTGTTACGTATAATTATCACCAAAAAAACGCCTTTCTAGTTTTTCCTACTTTTATTTAGACTTTTTTGGCAATTCTTTTGGTATTATTACTACAATTTAGAATTTAATAAATTCAGTAGGTAGCTTCTGAAGTTTCTGGAACGGGACTGGTACTATGTAAAATAACTTTCCCAGACAGCAGTGGCGTAACTACAGGGGGGCCTGCCCCCCCCTAGACGTCGCTAGGCTCCCCCCCAGAAAAAAACTTTAATAATTTGGTATTTTATGAAACCTACGTTACCTATTATAATTTTATGTTATTACCTACCAAATTTGAACGGTAATGCGCGGCGATCCCGATCGACCCTATCCGATCCTCCGATCCACCAAGGAACGGGCTGTGTGCCATTGTGCCAACCAAAGGTCAGTGCAAATTGCAATGTGCAGAAGTGATACAGTATACCAAAGCCATTAAATTAGCATTAGCAATATAACAGATTAGTTTGGGAGTTTGACTAAATATTTTTCCTATGAATCCGTAAATCGGTTGTAATATAACATACCCGGGTTCGTTCAGTAAGATTGAACGATGAGAATTTTTCATTATCTTTAAACAACAAATCTTCTGAAAAACGAAATGAAATAGAAATGGGACCTACGTTGTGGAAACTTACTCAATTTTACTTACTGGACATGCTCCCGACATAGCAAATATTTGGGAAATTTAAGGGAAGTTGTGATATGTAAAAGAAACGAAAAATTTGTGAAACGTCTATTCTATTATTAAAGTAAATCGTACCGTTCTCATCCTGGAACTAACGAGGGGAAAGAGCACGGCAGAGTAACCCTCGATCTAACATTCCTCAAAAATCGAAACATACTGTGTCATTTTAATAATAATTGTGAGTCAATAATTCAATAATCAGGTACCAGCCTTTGTTTTTGTGCAAAAATTTCAATTACACACACTACATTCAATCAACACTACCTATATTCAATACTGAAGAGTTTTTTGGTTAGTTAGCCCATCGTGGCAGGTACTGAGGTCCCTGGTTACGTAAACTCAGAGCTATAGTTATTTTGGGCCAATATCTCTAGATTGATTAGGTACTTCAATTTGCTAGGATATTCTCTGGTCAGGGTAGGAAAATGTTAGTAAATTCAACAAGGCTCTAATGTACGCTCTAAATCCAAAAATCAAAATCCCAGAGGGGGAAATTTTTGACCTTTCTTAACTATAGAAAATCTACGTAAATGTGCGAAGACTACGAAATCCCATTTTTGAGTATTCGCATCTTTACACATACGCACATTTTCATACATTTCACTGCGAGCGGCGAGAGACTTGCCGAAGTGTTGCGTATGCGCTGACGTACCCACATTTGTGGTTATATCAGCTGTTATTATTTTGTGATGATCGCAATACGAAATATGGAAATAGCAGAACAACAAAATCTACCAACCAACCAGTATAACCCTCTAGATCCATTGATAGAGCTTAATCATCAACAATTTATTGAGTTATTTCGATTAAGAGAAGATCTTTTTTTATATTTGATCGAACAACTTCCGTCCAGCACTGCGCATTACAGACTTCATTGTATAACTTTGAGGGTCGGTTTCTCAATAGCGAATCAACTCCGGGTTAGTTTTAACCTCAGAAAAACGTATCGAGTTGCAATGTTGAGGGCCGATTTGTCAATAGCAAGTCACCACCGGGTTAAGCATAACTCCAGGGTAAACATTGCAACTGGACGCGTTGACCCTGGAGTTAAAACCATTCCGGAGGTGACTCGCTATTGAGAAATCGACCCTTACCCTGGAGTTATGCTTAACTTGGGGGTGACTTACTATTGAGAAACCGGCTCTAAGTTTGTTTATCGCTAATTAGTTGCGGCTTCTTCTTCACATACTTCACAAGCAATTTTTTCTGCTTATGATGCACTGATCATTTACTCTTCATTTGTTCTGTGCTGCATTTCTTCTTGTTTTCCGACATTTTTCACAGAAAAGTAAAAATTTGTCTAAAGTCGACAGTTGACACAACCTATTTTTTCCCTCAGTACTACAAAAATCTCTCAATTTGCAGTGTTGCCTGATCAACTCTGCGTAATGTTGCGAATGCCTAGCTCAGAGCCGCTTTCCAGCTGTGTGCTTCAAGCACGGTGCAGCACAGTGTCCTGTGTTTGAAACGCAAAAGTTAGCAGCTTTCGAAGCGCAGTATGGCTGGAACACGAACACGCGCTTGAAGCATTTGCGCGCGCAAAAGCTCGATTGCGTGCTCAAAAGCGTCAGCAGGAAAGCGGCTCAGGACGTATTTCGACTTGCGCATGTCATCCAAAAATTGGCACAAAGAAAAGTATACGTTTCATATCATGCGCATCTTCAAGCATACGCAAATAAACGTACATTCCCAAAAATTGACCCCCAGCACAAAATAAAAATTATTCAACTGACACATAATGTTTCTAGGATTTAATTTACTCTTTATCTGTGTTGTTTACAGCATGAAATGATTTTTGTTAAATACATGAACAATGCACATGTTATAAACAAACAAAAAAAAACATAAAAATTAAAAAAATGATACTTGTATAAATAATTGAACTCTCAAAAATAAAATAAAAATTATTCAACTGACCTGTAATCGCTCCTTGACACACACACTAATAACAAAGT